AGGAGGCGAAGAGGGCGCCGTCTGCCTGCACGCTCGAGGAGGAGCGGAGGGCGAAGGCTGCGGCAGAGCTTCGCGCACAGGAGGAGAGGGCGGCGCAGCTGGCTGCTGAGCAGGAGTCGGCGAGGCGGGCGGAGCGCGAGGCGGCAGAGCTAGCGGGTGCCGCAGAGCAGGCGGCGTTGCGCGAGGATGCGGAGCTGGCAGAGGCGCTGCTCCGGTCAGAGGTGGATGCAGAGGAGGCGCTGGTGCGTCGGGTGTCGCGGTGCGAGGAGGCGGTGAGCAGCGAGTCGACCGGCGGCGGCGGGGACTTGCCGCGGCGTGTCGAGCGGCTGGAGGCGAGCCTCGGCGCGGCGACCGAGGGCAGCCTCGAGGAGCGGGTCGGCGCCATCGAGCGCTTGATCGGGCCAGAGGCGGGAGAGGCGGCGGAGCAGCATCTGCCAGTCACCGAGCCGCTTGCTGCCGTCTCACTAGCCGACGCCGGCCTCGACACGGGGCGGCCGGCTGCCCCCGAGTCCACGATGGGGGGCGAGACCACGTGCATCGTGTGTTTCGCGAGAGTCAAGTCGCATGCTGCGGTTCCGTGCGGGCACTTGTGCGCTTGCGGGCCATGCTCTGAGCTGATGCGAGAGTGCCCTTACTGCCGCGAGCCAGTGATGATGTGGATGGTTCCGCGTCCGGTCTAGGCGGGCCGCCCTGGATTCGAGAGAGTTGGTTTTGTGTTGGATTCGATGTTGATGGCTGGCGGGTGGCGGAGAGGCGGCGTGGGGAGAGTCCCGGGCGGGGCGAGAGGCGAGGCCGAGGGAGAGGGCTGGAGGAGGGGCGAGAGGTGGCGGGGGGCGGGAGTTGCGACTCCCGGGGGGGGGGCGACGCGACGCAGAGCCGGAGGGCGGGGCGGCCGTGCGACCCTTTGAGACCGAGGCCGTGCGAGCAAAAAGAATTTGCGGAATTTACGGCCCTTTCCCTGCGAACCGCGCACCCCTCAGCGAGGCTAGGGCTCTCAGTCTAGCCCGTAACCCGCGATCCCGATGATCCGGGTTCCGGCCCGCTGGGTGCGCTTCTTTGTTCTTATAGCTCCCCGGCGCCGCGGCGCGCGGGCGCGGCGCCTCGCTGGAAGCTGGATGTGAGGCTAATGACTGCACTCCAAGTACTCCAAGTGCTCCGACAGACACAGAAAAATATACGACGCTCGCGAGAGAGCGCCTTCGGCGAGACACACTGCACACTCTCTCCAAACTGAAAACTCTCCTCTCTCTGAGACCTCCCTTCTCCGCTCCCGACCCGGCATGCGAACAACATGACAACCCACCTACCCACGCTCTCGCCCAGTGCGAGAGCTGTGGGCACCTCTCCCACTGCACAAGGGCCTCCGCGGCGCGCGACTCACACAATGATACACAATACAGGCGCGCGCCGTCACGCACAGACCCCCCCCCCCCCTCCCTCCCCCGCCCCCCCCGCGCGCGCTACGGCGCGGCGCGGCGCACGCCCGGCAGCAGCTCCTCCATCCTCCCGCAGCTGCGGCTACTACGGCTGCGGCTCCTACACGCCCCAACTCAGCCGCTCGAACTTCCACATCCGGACGTGCTGCTCGACGACGTCCTCCTATCAAACAGAAGAACACTAGTGTGGCACTCGTTTTCTTTTTTGTAGGCTGGTCGAAGGACAGCTTCCCTCGTCAGCGTCCACTGCATTGGGTCGAAGCTCGCCTCGACGTCGCTCTCCATGTTAGCGAGGTAGTCGAGGACGTAAGGCTCGCCGGAGAGCATCATGTCGTTTGGGCGGAAGCCGGGCCAGATGTCGGCCACGAGCACCTTGTCCCTCGCAAGCCGCAGAGCATTGCGGATGCAGCGGCGGCGCGCGTAGCCGGGCATCTCGTGCGTCGCGAACATGAGCGTGGCCACGTCGAAGCTGCCCGCCTCGCCGAACGCCTCGGCGTTGGCCACCACCCGCTCGTGCACGTCCGGCCGCCGCAGCCGCGAGACCGCGAGCATGTTCGGCGACGTGTCCACGGCGGTCACCTTGCCGGCGCGCGCGCACGAGAATCCGACGCCGGAGCAGAGGTCGACCACGGTCTGTCCGGCGGCGGAGAGCTCGCTCTCGTGGATCTGCTTGCGCGCGTCGACGCCTCCGTAGGCCAGCTTGTCGATCAAAAAGGTCGAGAAGGGGACGGCGAGCGCGTGCAGCCAGCCCCGCCAGCCCGTGTTGCCAAAGTTGTGGATCCGCGGGTCCTCCTGCGGAAAGGGGGAGGGGGAGGGGGAAGGGGGGTGCAGTCATGGACCGCCGGAGGGGCCTCGCTCGCCGCCGCGCCGCGAGGGTTGCGGCCGCAGGGCACAGAGTGGGCCGCGCGCGGGCTGTGTGAGCGACGGGACGCACCCAGTAGTTTGCGTGCTCGCCGAGCCGCTCGAACCGCAGGGCGCGGTCGTGCTCCCACTCGAAGATCCTCGCCACCCGCGTCTGCTCGCTCTCCAGGAAGGTCGCCGCCCGGGTCTGCTCCTCACGGAGAAAGGTCTCAAAGTCCCCGTCACATGCGCCATTCCGAGGGGGCAGCGAGGGGAGGAGCGGCAGCGGCTTGGCGGGCAGCAGCGAGTTCTGCGGCAGCGGGCGAGGCGCCTTGGGCCGGCCCTCCGGCCCAGGCGCCAGCGAGAGCGCTGCCGACAGGAGCGCCGCCGACAGCGCCATCTCTCTTGTGGACGGGTGTTTGCCGCCGAATCGCGACGGAACCTTCTCTCCATCGTCCTTGCTGTCCTCCTATGCAACACCGGGGCTACGCCTCTCCGCCACCCAGCGAGAATAGGCGAGAGACTGCGAAGTGAGATAGGAAGAGGCGGACGCCCAAGGGCGGGCGACGGCTAGCGCACCCCACCCCTCTCCTTAAAATCCCTGTGTGGTGGCGGCGTGCCGTCCTCCCATCCCGCCAGCCACCTATTTTGGTCGACAGAGGCGTTTTCGTGCGGTCTGCCAGTCGCTGCTGATAGCCGATTTATTTATAATCGCAAGCGGTGTCTCGAGGGTCGTTTGCGAGGGGCTCATCCTGGCTAGCCAGATCCGCCTGGGCGCATGCAGTCTTGCTTTTGCGCACCCTAGCCTTATTTTGGTCGACAGAGGCGTTTTCGTGCGGTCTGCCAGTCGCTGCTGATAGCCGATTTATTTATAATCGCGAGCGGTGTCTCGCGGGTCGTTTGCAAGGGGCCCAGCCTGGCTAGCCAGATCCGCCTGGGCGCATCCAGTCTTGCTTTCGCGGTAACCAGCCTTGTTTTGGTTGATAAACGTGTTTTTGTGCGGTCTGCCAGTCGCTGCTGATAGCCGATTTATTTATAATCGCGAGCGGTGTCTCGCGGCTCGTTTGCGAGACGCCCAGCCTGGCTAGCCAGATCCGCCTGGGCGCATCCAGTCTTGCTTTTGCGCACCCTAGCCTTATTTTGGTCGACAGAGGCGTTTTTGTGCGGTCTGCCAGTCGCTGCTGATAGCCGATTTATTTATAATCGCGAGCGGTGTCTCGCGGGTCATTTGCGAGGGGCTCATCCTGGCTAGCCAGATCCGCCTGGGCGCATGCAGTCTTGCTTTTGCGCACCCTAGCCTTATTTTGGTCGACAGAGGCGTTTTTGTGCGGTCTGCCAGTCGCTGCTGCCAACCTCGCTTCGCGGTGGCGGGTGGGGTAATTAATTATTAATTAATTAATTATTAATTAATAATCATATAATCATCTGGCGGCGGCGCGGCGCGGCGGCGGGCGGCGCGGAGCGGGGCGGCGCGAACATTGTACTGAACGGGCCAGCTAGCTGGTCTTTGAGTCGGCGCAATGGTCGCGCCGCCCTCGACTCAAGGGGCTGCCTTCCACACGTCGCTGCTCAGGCCGGGGGAGGGGGGGAGACCTCCTCGTCCTGTTCCTCGCGGAACGGGAGCGGCGGCCTCTCCTTGCCCGGTCTGCGATGCAGGGCGGTGGTCGTGCCATCTTCGCTTCGTACTCGAAACCACCACGCGCAACCGTCGCCGGCGCGCGACACGTTCCCGTAGGCCGGACTGTCCTCGTCGAGAGTGTGTGCCGCCAAGGCGGGACACAGTCAGGGGCAGTGCCGACGGGACGCGGCTCGAAGGGTGTGGCTCCGCAGCGCGGCTGGCACTCGTCGCAGAGGCCTCACCTTCAAAAAGTCGGGCATGGCTCTCCCCGCAACTTTCTCGCTAACACGCGCGCACCGCCGAGCCTGGGGCGGGCGCGCTGCAGCCGCGCGTCTAACTTCGTCATAGTCGCACGACACCGGGTACGGGACTGGCACTGCAAAGGCGACGGCTTAGAAGCCGTCGCCCTCACAGATGCCGTCCTCCTCACAGAGGGCGTCGTCAGACTGGTAGTCAGGCGGATGGTCGAATCCGCGAGCACCGTGGTGCTCGCCGAGAGGACCATCCCCATCATCCTCCGACTCCATCCCCTTCCCCCCCCCCCCCCCTCGCTCCCGCCGCGCCCCCCGCCGGCGCCCGTCGCGGGACTTCCTGCCCCCCCGCCAGCGCCGTGGGCCGGGCCGCTCCGCAACTCCTCCAGCTCCCCCTCAAAGAGGAGGACCGTGCCCAAAATTCTTTTTTTCCGTGGTAAATTCTTTTCTCGTTTAAAATTCTTTTCTTTTGAGCTCTATCTTCTTTTACCCTGGCAATTTCCTTTCAACCCTCTGGGGGGGCGCGGGGGCCGCCCTAGAGGGCACCCATGCAGGCGCCGATCTGGTACAAATTCTTTCCGCGAGCCCGCGATTTCTTTTCCTGTACTTTCACTCCTTGCTGGGTATGTTCTTTTTTCTCGCGATGTCTAAACCGCCGCGCCGCCGCTCGCGCCGCCTCGCCCCCGGGGCCACCTCCTCCTCCTCCGCCGCCCCCTCGCCGGACACGCCGCCGCCCGCCCGCCTCCTCGACCTCCCCACGGACCTCCTCGAGCGCGCCCTCTCCCGCTGCGACAGCCCCCTCGACATCGCTCGCGCCGCGGCCGTCTCGCTGCTCTTCCACTCTTCGCTTGCGGCGGAGGCCATCCGCTTGTGGGCGCAAGAGCGCGGCTTCGAGCTGCCGGCGCAGCCAGAGGGCGAGAGCTGCGCCGTGCGGTGGCTGTGCTTTGCTGCGTTGCTGTGCGAGTCCAACCCGCCGGCGAGGGTGGCAGCGGGCTTCCGGCACAGCCTCTTCATCGACGGCGAGGGGCGGCTCTCGTCGTGCGGAAAGGCTGAGTTATGGATGCCGGGCATTCTCGGGCACGGCGAGGGCGTGACGCGGCTCAACACGCCGACCCGCCTCCCCTCTACATCGCTGGGAGGCGAGCGCGCCGTGAGCGTGTCGGCTGGAGGCTTCGACAGCCTCGCTCTCACCGCCGACGGCACCTTCTGGAGCTGGGGCAGCGGGGAATCGGGCCGGCTGGGCCACGGCGACGAGCAGACCCAGCCGCTGCCAAAGAAGGTCGAGGCCTTTGCTGGGCAGCGCGTCGTCGTTGTGTCGGCTGGAGGCATCCACAGCCTCGCCCGCACCGCCGACGGCGCCGTCTGGAGCTGGGGCTATGGAGCCCTTGGCCAGTTGGGCCACGGCGACACGCAGGACCAGCTGCTGCCGAAGAAGATCGAGGCCTTCGCTGATCAGCACGTAGTCGCTCTGTCAGCTGGGCAGTACCACAGCCTCGCCATCACCGCTGACGGCAGCGCCTGGAGCTGGGGCGGTGGATTGTTCGGTAGGCTGGGCCACGGCGACCAGCAGCAGCAGCTGCTGCCCAAGAAGATCGAGGCGTGGGCTGGGCGGCGCGTCGTCACTGTGTCGGCTGGAGGTCAGCACAGCATCGCCATTACCGCCGACGGCGCTGTCTGGAGCTGGGGCAATGGAGCCGATGGCATGCTGGGCCACGGCGACCAGCAGACCCAGCTGCAACCCAAGAAGATCGAGGCCTTTGCTGGGCAGCGCGTCGTCGCTGTGTCGGCTGGAGCCGGCCACAGCCTCGCCATCACTGCTGACGGCGCCGTCTGGAGCTGGGGCAATGGAGGCTGTGGCCGGCTGGGCCACGGCGACGAGGAGTGCCAGCCGCTACCGAGGAAGGTCGAGGCCTTTGCGGGGAAGCGCGTCGTCGCTGTGTCAGCTGGAGCACACCACAACCTCGCCCGCACGGGTGATGGCGCTGTTTTTGCCTGGGGCGAGGGCGGCCGCGGCTGCCTAGGACACGGAGAGGACCTGTCGGACCAGCTGCTGCCCAAGAGGGTGGAGGTATGGGCGCAGTGACCAGGAGGGCACTCTAGTCGGCCCCGAGCGCAGCTCACGTTGTTGTATCACTTGTGCCGGATGAAGTAGTATGCGGGCCGCCGCACGCCTTGAAAATTTTAGCTTGAGAAAATAAATGGAAGGGAGAGGAACGGCAGTCGGCACGGGCCGCCACAGTGTGCCCCACAGTAAATTCAAGGAAAGGAAAGAAGAACACAATAATCCAGACCATAGCGGCCGATGCACTAGCCCCAGCCGTCGGGGGGGTGTTGCCGGCGCTGGTAGATGATCTCTCGGAGAAGAGCCGGAGGGACCTTGGCGCCGGGGTCACGAGGAACTTGCAAGTCGTGGCCGAGGCGGCGACGGGCGCGGTGCAGAGGTGGATCCAGCTCAATGATGAGGCTACGGCGCGCATAATGAAGAGAGAGGAACACATCGAGTGGCTGAGGAAGCTCTTCACTGGGTGGAAGGAGGCTCGGCCGGCCTTGAGGGAGTCGCGGAGGAGGAGGGATAATGGAGGTAACGTGGGAACAGGCCAACAGCCAGTGGGACGAACGAGGGGGGCCGCGACGGCGGCTCAAGCGGGAGGGAGCGGAGACGGTGGGCAGCGACCGAAGTGGGTGAGACTGATGATGCTCCTTCGACTTAGGGAGCGGTTCAGCTGCTGGGCGGGCTCAGGCTGGTGCTCACGCGAAAAGGAATCGGGAGTGTCACACGGAGGCGGCCATTGTGGCGCGCGCTCCTTGTGTCTACGTGGGTCGAGTTTTTTTCGCACACATACTCACACACGCTCACGCCGGTCGCCGCACAACCTTCAACACCGCCTCGCTACTACGGTCTACGCAGCGATACAAATCACAATTATCACAAAAGTTACAACAACGCAGCGGATGCTCGAACGACTGACCTTCGGACGCACGCGGCACGGACATCGGACGCAGCTCACGGTACCCCGGCACGCACGCGTACCCCGAGGGGCATGCTCCAGATTCAGAGTACATGCTCAGCATGCTCGCTCCCCATTCGCCTCGCCGTAGCCCACCCTTCACGGCGAGCCGGTGTCCCGGTGTCCCTGGCGCCCCCCCCCCCGCCCCCCCCGATCCTCCAAGCCCACAAGCGGAGGGCGCACGCCCCGGCTCCATCCTTCCTCCGAGCTCCGTTCGGCTCGACGGCGGCAAAATCGTCCTCGGGCACGCGGGGCCCTGACAGGAAGTAATTGAGTACAGAAGCTGTAGCCGCGGCGCCTCGCCACCGGCGGGCTCTGTGGTCGCTTGCCGGTCTGTGCGACCGTGCCCCGAGCGAAGGAGCACGTGGCTAGCGCGTTCACGCCGCATGCGCGTGTGTATGCGTCATACTGTGCGATGCGTGCTACCAGCACGCACCTGGCGAGAGCCGTGCTGGCGAGGCCTCGTCCAGCAGGATCTCCACTAGATCTCCACTGGTGCGCCTTCCGTGCTAATTTGCTCGTTGCGAGGTCTGCTGTCCAATTGGCCAGCCTCCACAGTTGGCGAAATTGTGGAGGCTGAGGCTGGTCAGTTGTCCCGAGTCTTAAGACCGCGTGGTGCTCTGACAGTACTGTCGGTTGTCGGCGCCACCGTCTCCCAGCCTCGGCGCGGCGTTTGCGGCGTATAGACGGCAAGCGTTGGCCTTGCCCGTGCTCGCAAAGTCAAAGGCAGCGCAGGTGTCGCTGCCATCGCACGCTGCAGCGCACAAAACCTTGTCGCCAAAGTCACCGCCATCATTCGACGCACCATATTGACCCTGCCCGGTCTGGCAGAGGTAAGGTGGGCTCTCCGCCCTGCAAGTGTTCGCCAGCGCCTGGGAGCAAGCAAGCACGGTCAGTTGAGGGTTGTTATAAATCGTGCTTGGGTCAGTTGAGGGAATCGTCAGGCCCCGTCCAACGTTGGCGAGCAGCGGGAGGCTGAGGCTGGTCAATCGATGGTTGCTATAAATCCCAAGGCTGTCACCAATGTTGGTGAGCTTGGGGAGGCTGAGGCTGACTAGCAATTGTACAGCTCGAGGTCACTTCCAACGTCGGTGAGCAGCGGGAGGCTGAGGCTGGTTATAGAGTCGGAGGCCAATATGGAGATGGATCCTTCGACGTTGGCGAGCTTGGGGAAGCTGATGCTGGCAATTCTTGTGTAGTCTATGGTAAGCTGTCCGAGGTTGGTGAGCAGCGGAAGGCTGAGGCTGGTCAGCTCATCGCGGCCGTAATAGAACCCAAGGTACCCGACGTTGGCGACCAGTGGCATGCTGAGACTACGCAGTAAGTTGAACTCAAAACGAAGGCTGTTGACGTCGGTGAGCCGCGGCAAACTGAGGCTGGTCAGGTATGTGTTGCTGTCAAGTGAAATGGAGCCCGCGCGTGCAAGCAAGGGGAAGCTGAGGCTGGCCAGGGCGTCTTGGTTGTAGATGTTGATGTTGCTGACCGTCTGCAGGCAGCCCAGCGTGATGTCGCCGCTTTCGCCCTCTGCGACGAGCGTCTTAGTGATGCTGGTGCAGCCCATTGTCCGGGCCGCTGTCAGGGTGACCTTGTCCGAGTCGCACACAACTGCACGGCACGCTGACCGCGTGGTGCTCTGACAGTACTGTCGGTTGTCGGCGCCACCGTCTCCCAGCCTCGGCTCGGTGTTTGCGGCGTATAGACGGCAAGCGTTGGCCTTGTCGGTGTTCGCAACGTCAAAGGCAACGCAGTCGTTGCTGCCATCGCACACTGCAGCACACGCAGCCCTGGAGTTGTCGCCAAAGTCGCCGCTAGCATACGACCCACCAGATTCACCCCGCCCCGCCTGGCAGAGGAAAGGTGGGCTCTCCGCCCTGCAAGCGTACGCCAGGGTCCGGGAGCAAGCAGCATCGTTCCATAGACCGTTGCTGCCGAACATCATGGCACAGTCCTCACCTCCGCTGTCGTTTGGTTCGCCGATATTCCAGTTGGCGTAGCTCATGGCCTCCCCGACGGCCCACGTTGACCACGCACCCTCGCTCTCACCGTCGGTGGCTCCAATCCATACCTTTGCGGTGCCCGCGGATTCCTTAAGCTCGTCGTTTTCGCTTTCGGACAGGATGTAGGCCAGCTCGAGCCCCCGGCTCTCGCAGTCAGCCTTGGCGTCTGCCCAAGTCTTGGTGGGCGAATTGTAGACCACAAACGTCCCAGAGGCGCCGGCCGTAGTCTCCTTCTGCGAAGCTACCATGCGCGAAGCGCCCGCTCGGGACGGCGCGTCGGGCAGCACAGCATAAGTCAGCCCTCGCACCGGCCCCTTGCTGCTTACGTGCTTGTCCTGGAGAGCGAGCCCCTCACGAAGCCGAGCGAGCTCCTCGAGTGCCGCGTCCGACGCCTTGAGCGACGCGTCCCTCTCATTGACCGCTGCGGCGGAGCTCGCCCGGTTGTCCGTCGCGGCGGACAGGGCATGGCCCACGACGGCGGCGGTCGCGGTCAGGAAGAGCCTCAGCATTACTCTTCTCCTGCAGTCTATTTTTGGGCTGTAGGGGCGTTTTTACGTAACAAGTCAGGCGAGACACGGAAAGCGAGAGAGAGAGAGGAGGCAATCGGAATTCTAGGGGTTGGGCTGCAGTCTATTTTTGCACCAGAGATTTGGTTTATCGTACACTATGGAAGAAACTTGTTTCTGTAAGGTACCCAGTCCTCACATTATTTATTCCGACACCAGCTGCCAGGGCAATCCCCAACTTTTTGTGGGGCCAACACCACCACGGCTGATTGGATGATGAGTGCTTCCAGCTCGAGCGCGGCTGTCGACCATGAAAAGTCCAACGCGCTCGTCGGTGACGGCGTCCCCGGATTTCGCCGCGCTCGGCGAACCTCGACAGCGCTTTCGGTGGCGTGCAGCTCTTTGCGACAGAAGCCTGGAGAGCAGCTCCTCTGCTGCTCACACACTCTGCACAGTTGACTCAGCCTACTGTGCGGCTGCCACAGCTGTGACAGCGATGGGCTCGCCCTCACTGGCCCTCAGTCACTTGTGCTGCGGCTTGTGTGAGCGACACTGCTCGGCGACTGCCGGCACACTGTGAGACCATGGGTGTGAGGTCAAACCACGCTACCAGCGCTTGGTCACATCGGCCCCGAGGTCAGATCCATCTACTCTGTTGATGACAAGACTTGTCTACTGGCTGGAGCCGAGCAGGAGGGCCCAGCGCACAACCCCTGGTCAACTCAGGGTCCACACCCCGTTCTACTCTGTTGATGGCAACACTTGTCTACTCGCTGGAGCCGAGCAGGAGGGCCCGGCGCACAACCCCTGGTCAACTCAGGGTCCACACCCCGTAGATAGAGTCTTCATAGAGGCTCAAGTGTGACATAACTCATATCTCACATTTACTTTTGATAAACCAGGGGCCGATCCACACAACAATCCTTTCACACCGGACGGTAGAGCCGAATCTGACGGCCAGAAAGCTCACCAGCCTCGCAACACATGCCATACCCATCCCTGACAAGCGTGGTTTGACTCACAGAAGCCGCAGGCCACGTGGAGACATAGCTACGTGACCGCGCAAAACACGCCCGGAGACTGCTCACATCCTGATATCCCGGGCTCCAACAATGGTCCCACCATCGGGCCTATCGCGGTCCGACGCCCACAGGTACCGGGTGCACCCAGCCTGGCCGCAGGAGGGCGGGCCCGGGCCGAACCTCCCACTCAGAGGTCCATTGAAGTCGTCCGCGGCACACCATATAGGTCAAGCATTACAGACACCCATTCAGCGGGAACGGAAAAATTATTCCCGCGGGACCACGGGTCGTTCTGCAGCTTCTCGGCTGCGAGCATTACCTGCTTCAGACTATCTGCTGACCGCACGGGCTGCGTATGGTTGATCTCAAGTTGGGGCACCTTCGCAAAAGGAATTCCGACGTGCATGTAACCATCAAATTTGCGGCACAACTCACGCAACGGCACAAAGAAGGCTTGCAACGAGTTCTCTGTGTCTGCCGTACGAAGAAGTGATTGCGCAAATGTTCCCCACACCGCCCGTTGCATGATGAGTCGATCGATTCGACGGACCTGCAGCCCTTGAGGCCATTCAAGCTCGACGAAGATGTGATGAAGAAAGCCCAGGTTGAACACCTGAACAGCGTCTAACATAGTCAGGTTGGTACGAACAAAGCCCCCAATGCGCTGAGGTGGTGACACTTTGCCTGTTAGACGCAGTGCCTCTGGCCAATGTGACATGTACAAGGTCTTGAACTTTGACGGCTCTGAGTGTAGCAGCATAAGCCCTTGACATAGCAGGGAAGTGTCGACGTCGATAAAGACATGGTCATCATTCTGAAGGAAGAAGACAAGCCGCCCTGAGTGCTTGTCGGATCCGATTGAGCTCATAAGCCATTTCCATTTGGCTTGTGTCAATATGCGTGTAAATTCCAAGTGCTGAAGGCGGCTGCCGAGGGAAGAAGTCAGCTCGTTCTCTAGGTTTTGCCTTTGACTGCTGAACTCCTCGTCGAGTTGGATGAATAAGTAGAAACCATTGATGGGGAGATCAAAATATGAGCGCATCGCATGGCGAAATACCTGCAGCCTGCTGTACCGATTTCCCCTACTCCGCTTGTTTGTAATGAATGTGCTGAGCAGAAGATCCATGCTGATCGGGCAGTGTGGCCTGCGCCGACCGGCGTTGAGTTGCTTGTGGGTGCTGATGTTGTCTCTCCGCTGCCAATGGTCTCCCTCAGCGAACGGCCACGTCGGAACGTCGCCAGAAACAAGATATGCATTCTGCGACGGTGACACTGGCGATGCCAGCGGAAGCATCGCGAGTAGAAGCAGCCACGCGCCGTGCCCCGTCCGGCACCGCACGAGGCGCCCCGATTTGCTCCTCCGCACCGAGAGCAGCACGCCGCCGCACGCTCCGAGCAGCAAGAACAAGGCGGCCCAAAGCTGACCGCGCAGCTGTGCGCGGCCAGGCGCGGAAGAGGAGTGTCCGCTGATGAAGGGAAAGTTGAACGGGGAGGCGGGGTCGATGGAGAGTTCGTCGGCTGGCGGGGCGGGCGGCTTGTCGGTCCGCGGGCGGCTTGTCGCGTGGTGAGGCTCCTCGTGCCACGCAGGGGCGGCGCAGCGTGGCTGCCAGTCGGCGCACGCACTTGAGACCGAGAAGATATCTGACTCGACCGCGTTCGAGTCGGAGATCTGAGCGGCGCGGACCTCTTCAGGCCACGCCGGCTCCGCGAGAAGAGGGTCGACGGCCCGGCCAAGCTGGAGGAAGAGATCCTTGGTTGGCACTCGATAAACGTCCGTCAATCCGTCAATCGCCCGCCACTCGCCGCCGGCGTGCATGCTAGCGACGGGCGCGCCGAGGCCAGTCTCGACCAGCTTCCGCACCTCCAGCATCCCAGGCTTCCCAGCGTCGGCGGGCCGCAACTCGGGCGACGTGTCGTTCACGGGCAAGACGGTGTCGCGTCCCCGAGCGATGATCCCCGTCCTGTTGCTGTAGACGGGACCGACGAGGTCGAACTCAGGCTCGCCCTTGCGCTCCATGCTGTTGCGCGAGGCTAGGACGGTCTCCAAGTCGGCCTCGGCCTACTCGCAAACACACAGGCAATCGTTCCGTCAGCGGGTTACAAAGCTCGCACACACAAAGAGCCAGAGGGGCGCTCACCGGCTGCTTCTCGTAAATTTCCTTGACGGACGCCGGCGGCTGGCCAATCAGGTGCAACGGCTCGCCCACCGCCTCGTTGACGTCGTCCATCAGTGCTTCCAACGAGCGCCCCTCGTCGTGCCCGCCCTGAACAGAGAGCGGGCTGTTAGTCACGAGCTTGCGCGGCGCGGATACTAGCACGCGCGAGCGAGCACGCACCGGGTGGTTGGCGGGCGCGCTGTCCGACGATACGATGGCCACAAACGAGCTGGTGTCGATGCCGCCAACCTCGCAGAAGCCGTTAAGCGATGCCGGCGCGATCGGCGTTGTGACTGCGGGAAAGGAAGTCGGGGACTCGTGCCACTGCGAGGAGAGAAGCGCGGAGGTGGCAGGGTACGAGGAGAGCGCAAACGCGGTTCCGAGGCAGAGCAGCGCGAGGATGGCAAAGAGGCGGAGCAAGTAGGACGGGCAGAACTTGGGCCAAGAGAACCAGCCGGAGGCAGAGACGGAGCCCTCCGGCGTGGTAATCGTGGTCGTCTCGACGTTGGCCGTCGCGCCCTGAACAGGAGGGCGGGAGACTGGCGGTTGAGCGGCGAGCGGGGGAGGAGGCCGCATGTATGCAGGCGGCGAGCACCGAGTCTGTGGTCGACGGCGTGGAGCCGCGGGGCACCTTGCCGGTGCCGCCGAGGATGCCCTCGTTGCCGTTCGTTCCGAGCAGGGCCCCGAACCGGTTGTTGCCGCCGACCGGGGCGGTGCTCTTGGCGCGGACGATCGGGGCGGACGCGCCCTTGCGCCCCTTCTTGCGGCGCTTCTTGCGGCGCGGGTTCGACGGGGTGGTCCTGTCGGGGATGCCCTGCGCACGCGCAAGCGGTGGGTGCGTCAACAGTTGAGGCTCTGCGTTGCACCGCAGCGTGCGAGGCGCTCACCGCCGGGGCGAGCTTCTCCGCTGGCGGAGACTCCTTGGCCGAGACGGTCCAGTCGGCGTCGCCCTACGCATCAATGAAAGCGGGGTGGGTCAAGGGGTGGGTCGGCAGACGCACGGCGCAGAATGCAAGGCGCTCGCCGCCGCGGCGGGCGTCTCCTCCGGAACCTCCTCGCTCGACGGCAGCGGCGAGGGCGGTGGCGGCGAGGGCGGCGGCGGCGAGGGTGGAGGCAGAGACGGTGGCGGCAAAGAGGGTGGCGGTGACGGTGGCGGCGACGAGGGCGGCGGCGACGGTGGCGGCAAAGAGGGTGGCGGTGACGGTGGCGGCGACGAGGGCGGCGGCGACGGTGGCGGAGACGGTGGCGGCGGCGAGGGCGTTGGCGGCGAGGGCGGCGGCGGCGGGCTGGGCGGCGGCGACGGCGGCGGCGACGGCGGTGAGGGCGAGGGTGGCGGACTGGGCGGCGGAGAGGGTGGGGGCGGTA